ACTTCTGGCAGCTGCAAGGATTTAAATGCCCAATTCCAAAATTAACAGCCTAATGAAACTCAGCCAAAATATATGTGTCCATTTTCTCCAAGTTGCCACTATACACAATACAGAATTTGTTAGGCAGATGAGGTTCCACAAAGAGAAACAGTCACTTTTCAGAAAGGCTCCAGAATAAATACAATTAGTGTTTGTGCCTGTGTCACCAACTACTCAGTTTACTAACGAGAGAAGAAAAACTACATAGACTTTTCTCTTGGCAAGCGAGGGCCTAGAAGACATAGGCTGTCTCTCAACAACTCAATATGTTTATTGCCAGTAAACTGAAGATGACAGCAATGTACACACATCTGCTTATACACACAACCCTCTTTCAAGGAATTTGAAAGGACATTGCAAACATCAATCACAAAAGCCTTCCCAAGTAATCCTAAGTAGGTCATGACTGTAGGTAAGAAACTAACAAGGCCTCACAAAAAATGCTAACAGGTCTGACATTAGTCAGCGGTAATAGACTATCACTAGGTTCCAGAGAGTGTCATGTTACAAGTCCACCAAACTAAAGTTTTAACCTCTAAACCCAAACTTTGACTAAGAAAATTAGTCTGTCAGTTTCCCACTTGTAATTGTTTTGGTTAATTTGTTTGGTTTACCTTTAAATTGTATACCTAATATTTAACTGTAGTCTTTACAGATTGGTTTGAAAACACAGACAAATGGAACACAACTAAACTCTCCCTTAACACACATCAGCACTGTATCAACTAGAAATCCACAAAAATTCACAGCAACAGATTCACGTATGTCCTATAATACTCATGGGAAAATACTCTCCAAACTTTATCAAAGTATTCAACAATACTTTAATAATCAATCTGGAAAACCTGAGAACTTTTTTCATTGCTTAGGTAACAGATGCTGAGTTCACACATGAAGTTAACCTATGCTTTAAACACATCGTCATCTTCTGCATTAAAACTCTGTTCTTTTCCCAGGTAATATTATTCTGACTTTACAAACAGCTTGCACAAAAATACAAAATATTGTCTTAAAGCATATTCAAAGATGTGTTGTGGACAAAGAGTACTTCTTCATTTTTCATGGTCTCTTTCTAATAAGCTCTGCCTATTTTTGCCCCGCCACAAGGTAAAGCCACACAAGCAAAGAACTCCTAATACAAGAAACAACTGCAAAAAGTTAATTAACTCCAAAGGAATTTTGCTGTTTGATCAGCTGCTTATTAATACCACACAAGTATATATCCAAATCTGAATGAACTTGGTAGCAAGCAAATACAGAAGGTGACAGACCAACATATCAATGACAAAACATGCCAAAAAAGGGTGGAAAAGCAAAAGTATTTGTTTACAGTTTTCACGGGGCAAACTACTACCCATAACAGCAACTCAGCAAAGTCCATGAACTTTTGCATGAGGAAAGAGTAATGATCCTGGCCTGATCCTCTTGCATGACACACAGGGACTAAATAGATAGAAGCTGTTAATATGAGGATTTTAATACATCCATTCTGATTAGAAATTTTAAAATTACAATTTTTAAGTTCTTCACAACAGAGTGAAGTCATTGCTCTGGCTTACCTCAGGAAGAAAACTACCTGGGGCTACTGTCAGAAAAGCAGAATGAACACCACACCCTAGAATCCTCAGCATCACAGTAACCTGACAAGTAGGTGAGTTCCTAGAAAAATAATCAAATCAAAGACCTGCCCACAAGGAACAGCTCTGCTTAGGTTCCATCAGAACTTTGGCAAAAGTCAGTCTATACCCGCAAAATGTTTCAGTTTCACCATGCTGATAAATTTCAGCAAAAGACTATTTCATCAGAAAATTTCCAAGCAATTTAAATGGTTGCCCAATCATTTTGGCACAGGTTATGTCCTAAGACAGTGGCATCTGAGGCTCCTTAGTGCATAAAGAGCTACCATTATCTGCACAGCTTTATATGCACAGAAGACATAGGAAAATTAACCATAATAGGTCAGAAAAACCTTTTGCATGAAGCATGTGAAAAATGTCACCCATTTACCATTGTTCCCTTACTCATCGAATTCTTCCACAGTAATGCAATAAAATATGAAAAGAGCAAAATTAGGACTACGTGATATTTTCACAAATATGCCACATCATACTAGCCTTTGTTTTGTTAACTACATTGAAAACGCAATTCTCTTCAATGGCTCAGACAACGAAACAAAATTTAATTACCAGATAACAGGCCTTCCTTAATCACTTCTTTGCTTTCTTTCAAAACAGACATAACAGAGAAACTGCCAATGCTCCTGAGTGCATGGAGCAAATTAATTCAAAGTAAAAAGTGTTTCTGAGGAGTGCTTGCTACTAGTCTCATTCTGCCTGGTGGCTTTTGGTTACAAAAAAATAGAGAACCACTGTCCAACACTGAACAATCAAAGCACCAGTTTCTATATAAAAACAACTACCAGTGAATTACCAAGAAATTAAGAGACAATAAAAAAAAAGGCTAAATGAAAAAATAACATTTCAATGTGGAAAAAATATTCTGACTCACCACTGAAACAGAAAAAAGTATTTTTCTATTAAAAAGCATTTTTGTTAAAAATACTGTCTAGGGGAACAACCCTTCAACAACCTCTAGAGAATACATAAGACAGTTACAGCTACGCTCACAAGTTAAAATAAATACTCCAAGTGCAAACAAAAGCAAAAAGTACAATACCAACAAAGTTGTCTCTCAAATTACTTGGCTTTCTTAAACTTTGCAAGATTCAGACAGTAAGGAGATGATGCTGGAAGATACTTATGAAGAAAGCAAGCTATTCTTTTTCAAATGCAATTCCCAGAGTCAGAACTGAAGAGGGATTTGTCAAAACATGAACCAACACTTGTTGCTACAGTACTGCAGGGCCGAACAATGGCATCAACAGTTGCAAAACAGATGCCAGTTTATCAGATGCTGTCAAGAACCAAGCAGGCTACACTAAGCTATCAGAAGTCATACACATTTCACATTGCAGTCAGAGTGCTGAAGAGCAGCACAGCAGACACCAGCCATATCACAATGGAAAAGGTTTCAAAACTGTTAACTCTTCTTTCAGCCTCCTGTCCTTTTTCCTGTGGAAGGCAGGGATTTCTCAGCTGTTTTCAACAGCTTAACTGTGGAAGAAAGAGAACAACCAAGACCCACCACTTGCTGTAGTCTGGTACTTCTGAGGGACGTCAGACCTTTGACTAAGTTCTTTATTCCCTCCAACTACAGATGCACTCTGGAGTTCTATTAAAAAAGGTATCTTTCAGGCAAATAACAAAGCAATGGTTTCATCAAACAGAGATATACACTGGTAGAAAATACAAGGTTCTCCTCCTTCACAGACAATAAAGGTTTTCTCACAGTGAACATTTCTGTGAGGAAAACCAGTCATAATTCTTTCCAGCTGCCATTATTTCCCAGCTTATGTTTGTTCAGGAAGCTTTTCCCAAGACCTGGATTCTAAAAAGGTAAACTCTTTTGTACTTCGCTTTTGAATTCCGTCATCTCCCTTTTCTTGCGCTCTTATCTCACTTCCCCAGTCTGACAACTTT